AAACTGGGAGTTAGGAGCTTCTTCCGGGTGTCCGACATGGGTGCAGAATTTCGGCCCTCTTCTGCTGTCGTATCAGGCACACTAACAGGGAGTTGGACTGGAAGAACAACAGCAGGGACTATAACCAGTGCCCACATGGGATGCCTGTGCTACAGGTGAAAGATTTGCCTTTGCCACCAAATAAATACATCTTTTAAAAAAAAATGCATTCAGAAGCAAGGGCTCATGACCTGGATCTCCACTCTTCCCTTTGCCCACTCCACTCCTGTCCCGCCAGTCTCCTTGTGATCTTGCTGTCTTATGAACAGATCTCACCAGATCTCCGCTTAAGGGCCACCTCTTCAGAGAGGTCTTTGCCAATGCCATTTCTCCAGTGATTCGGCTCTGTCCTCCTTGCTCCTCCCTCTCTGCCTTGTTTCTTCAACCTACTTCTCATGATGTGATGCTAATTCTACCTGTTGCTCCACTTGTGCGTCCTCCACAAGGTCAGTGCTTCTTCTTAGGGCTTCACCCGGAACAGTTCCAGGCCTGCAGTAAATGCTCCATGAATATTATCAAATGAATGAATGAATGAATGATAACAAAGAAGAAAGGGAGGGAAACTGCTACTCTTCTTAAAACAAAGCCTGAGTTCTTCAATATCAGAGGAAAGAACAATTCCAAGGTAGGGCAGGGAGCTTAGCACAGGATGAGGTCAAGAATCAGGGAAGACTCAAAGGAAGGGGCATCTGTTTGAGAAAACCTCACTTCCCTCCTTCCTTCCCAGAGTGCCTCAGACCTGGGAAAGTGATACACTGGAAGGAGTCCTTCATTTAAGAGCAACAAAATCAGGCTGGGTGTTTGGGTGCTGAAGTGAAGATGCCATTTGGGGAGCCCCCATCCTGTATCAGCATGCCTGGGTTTGAGTCCTGGCTCTGCTTCTAAGTCTAGCTTCCTGCCAGTGTGCAGTGCAGGAGGCAGCAGGGGACGGCTCACATGGTTGGATCCCTGCCACTCCTGAGGGGCAGCTGGATGGAGCTCTGGGTGCCTGGGTTTAACTTGACTGAAACAGGCACTTGGAAAGTAAACCAACTGCTGGAAGACCTCTCTCTGTCTCTCTTTCAAAGGACAAATAAATACACAAATAAAAATGTAAAAGAGAGAAACAGCTTCCTCTGTTCAGAGACCAGCCAACACTGGCAAGCCCAGACTGTCCACCCTCCATGCAGGAATGGTTTTCTGTACCCATGCAGAAGGTCTTCTGTGTGTAGGAGAGAGCAGGGATGCTGGAGTTGAAAGACAGTCTTCCCATACCCCCTGTTTCCCACCTTTGTTCCAGCCGCAAGAACCACCATGCCCCAGCTATAAGCTGATTGTGAGGCCTCCCCCAGCCTCAGTTTCATCATCTGTGAGATGGGGAAAATGTTCAGACCTACTGATGCCCTGGGGCTGTTGGGACAGTAAGCGGAAGCCTTATGGATGAAAGCGCCAAGTAAACTGTCAGGCCCCACGTGCTTCTTACTGTGCCTGGGCACAAGGCGGTGGGAGGAATCATACTGCCTGGGTCAAAGGTCAGCTCTAGTTCCCTCTTACTCAGTCATATGGCCTTGGGCGCGGGGGGCTCCTTCTCTGACACCCACTTTCCTCACCTGGGGAGTGGGACTAATAATCGTATGTATAACCCTTGGCCTGTTACAGAAGGATGACATGGGCTGGTGGTGCTCAGTAAACATGCCTTCTCAAACAAGGATGCACAGCACAGCCCTTAAAGACAGCTGGGTGACAAAGTGTTCTGGGTCTGATAATAAAGACAGGCGGCCAACGAGCTCCCTCCCCAGTTTCCCTCTGGAGCGAGGAGCACACTGGCCGGAATCCAGGATGGTCATTGATGTGAAAGCCAGGCTGCCAAGTCCTGGCCTCCCACACAGAGTTTCCAAAAAGTGTGAGTACAAAGTTGCATAATCTGTCCGAGACACGTGTCTGCTGGAGCGTTTTTGTCAGTGTTCTCCGAAAGGGGAAATGCCAGCCGGACAGTAGTAGGGCAACTCAGCAGAGGAGGAAGGGAAGGGAGGGATGGGGGAGTAGGGGGCTCTCTGGAACAATTGTGGCATCCATCAGGAAGATAAAGTATTGAAGTCCTACTACGTGCCAGGCACCAGGCTGGCTCTGCCTGACAGATAGTGAAATCTTTGCCAAAAATTGGAGAGATCAGGCATTTTCACTCCCACATTCCAGAGGAAGAAATAATAACAATAATTGATGTTGTTAGCATTCACACAGCTACCCACACATTTGATCATTAAGACAGCCCATGACCTAGACACCTTTGTTATTTTTTTATTTAAGATTGTTTTCTTTATTCAAAAGGCAAAGTGTTAGACAGAGAAGGGAGACACAGAGAGACAGACCTTTCATCTGCTGATTAACTCCTCAGATGGCCACAGTGGGGTTGGGTCTCCCCCTAAAACAGGAGCCCAGAACCCCACCTAGGTCTGCTAAATGGGCCCTCCTCTGCTGCTTTCCCCGGCACATTAGCAGGAAGCTGATAAGCAAGAGGAGCAGCCGGGGCTTGAACCAGCACTCCCTTATATGCCTGCGTTGCAGACAGCAGCTTAACCCACCGTACCCCAACATTGGCCCCTGAGTACTTTTCTGATGACCCTTTTTATAGAAGGGGAAACCAAGCCAAGCTCAAAAAGATATGGAACAATTTTCTTCAAGGTCACCCCACAGGACAGTAGAGCCAGGACCTGGACAGAAGCATTTATACAAGAACATTTCTCAAAGGAATTATGGGAGCGGTGGGTTCAGAAAGTGACCTCAGTGTGAGTTGGCCTTGTATGTCCACAATGCTGGCTTGGTGTGGGAGTGACGACAGTGACTGAGTGACCACAGGCACTCCTCCTGTCCTCTGGGAGGACACTCTGTCCCAGTTAGTGGCTGTTCGTCATTCTGCCTCTGACCTAAAGTTTAACATTTCATTCATAAGTTGGGAACCACAGACTTGACAGTGTGGGAAAGGCCCTTGGGGACAGGCTATTCTAGTCCAACCCCCTCACATGACAGATGGAAAAAAAAAATCTGGAGCCCAACAAGGGCTGTTTGGACACGCCAAGGTCACGGGGAAGTTTTTGTTAGAGGAGTTGGGGTCAATGACAGAACTGTGTTGTTCTGTAGTTACCCAAAGCGACCATACCTCCGATTCATTCATGGAGACTTCTGCGTGGCCTGGGAATCTGTATATGCCACATACTTCTCAGATGATTCCGCAAGCACAGGGCCATGGGTTGCATCTAGAAATCAGAGTCTAAAGTCCCACTTTCATTTCGCAGGTGGGGATACCACAACTCAGCAAAGGACTGGCCCAGGATCCTGGAGCCATTCCGTGGGTCTCTGTCGCAGGCATGGGGTCTCAACCCAGGCTGCCCATAGTCAAATTCTGAAACTGGATCCAGGAGATGGGCCCTGGGGGTTGCTGTGGTTTGCCCCCCAGTCTTGGATTCCTTCTCGGATCTGAATTAAGACCGAGGGTGGTTTCCGGGGACCAGGAAGGTAAGCATCCAAGTACCCAACTCCGGAAGGGAAAAGGAAACAGCGGAAGCTCCCTAGCCTCTGCCCAGCGGGGGTTTTCCCAGAGGAGAGCTGCAAGGATGATGTCATCAGCACTTCAGTCAGACGTGTGTGTATTTCCATTTCCGGAGAACAGGTAGAAAGTCTTCCCTGTGGAGGAGTTGGGGGTGGAGTGGGTCCAGCCATGGTGTGAAGGCGTGGACTCCTGGAATGGCCACACCTCCCAAGCACTGCAAAGAAGTGGCTTCCTAAACCTCTCCTCCCAGGGCTGCCGGATTCCTCACCCAGCGTGACTTGAGCTGAGGGAGGCACTGCTCTTTTCCACTTCCCACCACTTTACCACCTGACTCCTCTCTCTGCTTCCTTCCTGCCTTTTTTTTGGGGGGGGGGGGGGTGAAGGGAAGGGAGGATTGCCATTTGGTGCTTGGAGTCAGATGGCCTGACTTTGAATTCCAGCTCAGGTTCCTGGGTCAAAAGCTGCCCCCTCTCTGAGCTACCGCCTTGGGTTGTGAGGAACAAACAAGATCGTGTAGAACTTCATAAACACGAGCTCATGTGGGTAAACAACGGATCAACACTGGAATGTATCTTTGCTGAATTGCACTGAGATGAATGATGGAGCTGGGAAGTACCTCAGTAACACCCAAGCGAACTGTTTACAGTATTGCCAAACGATAAGAGAACTCAGCACATGATAGTCTCAAGTTTCTTTACTTGCGTCTGGAATTGCATCAACTCATAATGATAATAAGGTTATCACACGCTGTTCGGAAATTCTGATTGGTCATTACACGAAGCGTTGATAAGTTTGTTTTTTAATGGGAAAAGAATGAGGGGAGGGCAGATAAAATGTTGGCAATTGTGGAAGTCGCTTTCTGCTCCCACAACTACGAAGTGCTAGAGCTGGCTGTAGGTTCCGACCTAGAACCGGCGACTTCTGCTCTCCCCACTCCACAGGGGCACCCTTAAGGTGGGTGAAGTTGAGGGGCTCTGGTCGGCTCGGACAGGCACACAGTGAGTCAGCAGTGTGTCCTTTCTCTCTTCTTGACTCATCCCAGAGATCGTTACTCACTTGCCCACGAGTCAGACGTGGTGTGGAGGGGCAGGGATAGGATTCTTAGGGCATCACGCAGGGAAGGCACCGAAGCTCTGAACAGCCAGCACTCTGCCTTCCAACCAGACTGAGGCTGAGGGTCGGGGCTGTCTCGCTTGGATCTGTTGGGAATCCCCGAACTCTAACCCTGACTGTGCCATGGACTTGGGCCGCCTTCCTCATTTTCGAGATTTCCCCTCTAGAGGGCACGCCAGCACTGCCGCTTTCGTGCCTCACTTCCGTTCACCTTCATTCTTCCTGGTGCGCATGTGCACCATTCCTCACGGGGCCTGTCTCACTCCCTATGTGGTTGCCTCCACTGCGGCTGCGCAATCTCAGCCCCACCCTCTCCGCCACTGTCCCCGGAAATGCTTCCTTCCCACGCAGCCGCCACCGGCCCTCGGGTCTCCGGAGCGTTGCCTCTCTAGGCCGGGAAGGCCTCTCCTCCATGGTCCCGCCTGTCAGCGCTGAGTCGGGAGTTCGCGGCTGAGCCCGGCCCCACGCTGGGACGCTTGGCTTGTCGGGTCTGTCCCCGGTGAGTAAAGCCCGGAGGGGTTCGTAGACAGGCGGAGTCCGGGCAGTCGGGACGAGCAGGGTCTCCCCCCCACTCTGGGAATGGTCCACCCCGCGCCCCCCTGTCCCCCGGAATGGGCTCGCCCTCCTGGGTCCCTCGGCGCTGCTCCCAGGCCCGGCGACGTTGCCAAGGCGACGGCCCGGCGGCTGAGGTCCGGCCGGTGTCTCGGCAGGTGCGGGGGTAGCCGGGAGCCCATGGCAAGGCGGCGCTGAGCGAGGCCCGGGCAGCGGCCGGGCCCGGCGGCCGGGCATGGCGGGCCAGTTCCGCAGCTACGTGTGGGACCCGTTGCTGATCCTGTCGCAGATGGTCCTGATGCAGACAGTCTATTACGGCTCTCTGGGCCTGTGGCTGGCGCTGGTGGACGCGCTGGTGCGGAGCAGCCCATCGCTGGACCAGATGTTCGACGCCGAGGTAAGGGTCGACACGAATGAGTGTCTCTGTGGTCTGACACTTGGGGGCTCCAGGCTCAGTCACCTCCTCGCTTTGTGACGCTGGGAAAGGGATTTGAGATGTCTGAACCTGTGTATGAAATAGGACGATGGATGGCCGATTTGTGCACAGGGAAAAAAGAGCTACAAGTGAGATGGATCCGAGCTGGGGCAATGCTGGTGCAGCTCCTCCCTGAAGGAAGTGGCTGAACTCTCAGCTCAGGTTTCTCTGAGGGGCTGCCCACCCCAGGAGAGGCAGAGCAAAAGGCTTTCATGGAAACTATGTGAAGCCTGGGGGGCGGCCAGCTAGCATCTGTGTAAGCGCGCCCCTTAGTAATTGCAGGATCTGGAACAGGTGGTGGTACCTCCCTGCCCCCACCATCCCTGTCTATAAGCATTGGACTGAGAAGCGATGACACAAACTGCAGTGCCAACAGCCAGTGCGGAGGGTCCAGGCAAGGCACGCTGGCCCGGCGTCCCCTTTCTGAGCTGTTCTGCTTCTGGAAAGGGTGTGGAATAACCCTGCCTTGTCAGCCTCAGTTATGAAAACTAGGGGAGCTTTTGTTGAATGTTCTGGAGGCCTAGAGGGTAGTGGGTACTGCAGGGCAGCTGTGGGTTGAGATGCAAAGTTCTGGAAGCCTGGAGCCTTTGGGGATGTTGTTATCCAAGGGATGGAAATGAAAATAACCGTAATGGCTTGGGTGGGCTTGCTTGGTGAGGACCAAGTGAGTCTGCGTAGCATGCGGCCTTTCTTTGTTAAGCTGACAACGTGGCACCCCATGTTTGGTGCTGGTAGTAGTGGGGATGGCAGATGTGGTAGGTGCCCAGTAGAAGCTTCATCGAAGGTTCTGTCCTGGGGAGGCCGTGTGGCAATCCTAGATGCATGAGACACACCACCCGGGTTCCAGAGCAGAGGCAGGCACACCTGTCTTACAGCAGGAAGCAGTAAGGACTTGAGGTCCCAGCTGCTGCTCTCTGCCCTTGTAATGCAGAAGCATCCGCAGCCAGTAGGTAAGTGAATAGGTGTAAGTGTGTTCCGGTCCAACTTTATTTGCAGTACCAGGTGTCTGGCCTGTGGAGCCATAGGTTTCTGAACCTGTTCTTGTTTACTCATTGCGTCACTGTGCGTACCTTCTCTGAGCGTTCATGGCCTTCTTTGTAACATGAGAACAGTCATCTCTTTCCAGGCTGCTGTGAGGCTCAAACACGCTGCCCTGACAGGGATGTGGACGCACCCCGTGACTGCTGGGCATGCAGAGAGGGGGTTGTCTTGCAAGGCTTGCTGGGCTGCTGGAGCCCGGGCCTGTCCTGGGTATCTCCAGTGTGTCTCCATTTGTGATTCCCCCCTCAGATCCTGGGCTTTTCCACCCCTCCAGGCCGGCTCTCCATGATGTCCTTCGTCCTGAATGCCCTCACCTGGTGAGTATCACCAGGTTTGCTGTCCAACTTTTGGGGTCCCAGCACCAGGGCAAGCTTCCTCAGTGTGCCTGGAAGACATACGGGCTCCTCGTCCTGGGGTTGGTGGACTAGCGTGGATGGCAGAGGCCGATTCAGGGGCTGGTCGTCTGCTGGGCTCTGTCCATTGCTGTTGTGATTTAGCTGGCACGTCCTAATGTCACTTTGTGTGTGCTGCCTGCAGGTTGAAGGAAGGATTAGACTAGCAGTCAGGGGAAGTGTTTCTGTCCCAGTCCGGGTGCCATTGATCAAGTATTTCCCTCCTCTCTGGGCTCCTTGGCTGCTCATCTCTAAGAGGTTGGATTGGGTCGCATTCAGGAACACTTATGGCCGGTGCCTTGAGAAGCAGTTTAGCGTGGTGACGAAGATCTTGGGCTCCTGAGGATAACTCACCTGGCTTGGAGTCCCACTCTACTGTCTATCGAGTGACTTTGGACAAATTGGTCTGTCTAACCCCCTGCTTCCTCATTACTAAAAAGGGGCAAATAGTATTACCTGTACCCCACACGGGACGACCGAGAAAGGTAATTCACAGAAAGTACTAGGAACCTTGCCTTGTACCTTGTCAGTATGTGTGAGTTCACTTGGGAATGTGAAAACTGACGGGTAGACTTTGACCTCAAATTGTCTCCCAGATAATGTTCTGTTTGGCTTCCTTAAGTGTTAACCCATGGGTACTGTATCAAACTTCTTGTTGTTTGTTTAATTGAAAGTGTATTTCATGCAAAGATCTAAATTGTTGGCATATCTTGAATAATGAGAAGATTGATTCCAAGTCAACCTTCTGGCATGGTAAGATCTGCCTAGGTACAATTGGCTGTTGTTGCCACTTGTGTGTTTTTGGGGTACCCTAGTGCCCACCAGGCCTTAGCATTCTTGCAAGTGACATTTGTCATTGATCATCAAGCTTACACTTGGATTTTCTTCTGCTTCTTCTGGCTCACTCTTGATATTGCTTGCCAGGTTCCTCTAGGCATCTGATGCTGTACCACCTGCTTCACCTTTACCTCCCTGGCTTGCGACCGCACTGCAATGATCCTAATTGTCCCTACCCTCCACCCCCCGAGTAACAGAATCTAAGGCCAGGATGCCCCGTGACAACTCGCTGTTGTCCTCTCCCCACAGTGCCCTGGGCTTGCTGTACTTCATCCGGCGAGGGAAGCAGTGTCTGGATTTCACTGTCACTGTTCATTTCTTTCACCTGCTGGGCTGCTGGTTCTACAGCTCCCGGTTCCCCTCGGCGCTGAGCTGGTGGCTGGTCCAGGCTGTGTGCATCGCGCTCATGGCTGTCATCGGGGAATACCTGTGCATGAGGACGGAGCTCAAGGAGATACCCCTCAACTCAGCCCCGAAGTCCAACGTGTAGACTCAGGCCCTGTGGACACCCCGCTGGAAGTTGGGCCCCCCAACACCTTGAGCCGCTCAGACCCTCCAGCTGAGGTCCAGCCCCGGTCTTGGAGGAACCCTGGAAATGTGAAGTGTGTTGGTGTGAGAGAGAGTGAAACCCCATCAAGAAGGCAGGGAGTGGGACAGGCTCACAGCTACGAGGACGGCAACCCTGTGCTGGAGCCTTTGCGTCCGCGAAGCCAGCAAGGGGACCTCACTGAGGATCCCAACAGAAGTGGAGCCATGTCGCTCTTGAGCCATCATACCTGTCACCAGCCTGTTCTTTGTTTTTGCCTTTTTTTTAAAAAAAAGAACCATGAAATCAAGGATATCTGATTGGAGCAAACCACTCGTATTCACGTGTCACCCCTCTATACAGTGCTGCTGTGACCTGGCTGCCATGGCCACGGTGATTCTGTTGGGAGAAGCACGTGATTTCTGGATCCAGAGCTGCAGAAAGATGTAGGTGCAGTGTTCAAGGCCGCTGTCAGGGAGAGGACAGCTGAAGGAGGTGTCAAGCACAAGGAAAATGCATAGCTTATGACCTGTGTACACAAGGGCCCCATGACCACCCTTCCTCCTAGTTCCATACTGCTCACAGCTTTCCACATAGGACCCAGAGAAAAATCCCAGTGCCATTCCCAGTCTAAGGCACAAAGTCCCTGCTGGCTCCTACTGGCCCTTGCTTCTGGCAGGAGTTCATTTTCCTGCCTCAAGTGGAATTCTGCGGTGAGAAGGGTGATTGGATGCGGGGCCTGGACACAGGCAGCCCAGACCGCCGGCCCGGGACACACTGGCAGGCTGAGGGAGTTAGGAATTTGCTGCCAAGACTTTTTCCTTTGGGATGGAGTTTCCTCTGTGAGGGGCTTGTGGCTGTCCTTCCTGTGTACCTAAATACAGTATTTTCCGCAGCTTGCCTGTCCTTTGTCATGTCGTGGTTGGGACCGGGAGAGATTAACACAGCCAGGCAAGAGGGCTAGGAAAAACTATTAGGCTGCCCTCTCCTTTCCTGGACCCCAGACTCACTCCTCCGTTCGACTCAGATGCTAAGTTCCAGAAACTCCTGTGTCCCATCCCCTCTAACCACAGCTGCTGTCTCAAGTGAGTCACTATGACACCTGGGATTCCACTCACACCTGCTAGAGTTTCTGGTCTGGATTCACTTCTGCTTTGAAACCATCAGTGTTCCTCTTGGAGCCCTGGGGAGGGCTCCCAAGGGAGCTATTCGTTTTCAGCTTCGGTGTGAGAAGCACACAGAAGAGTTGTCTTCCTGGAAAGTCAGTCTCGCTTCTGGCTCAGCCCTGTGGAGTAAGGGGGTTGAGGCTGACAGGATGAAGGTGAAAGTGCCTGGGGCAGGGACTGGGACATCAGTGCTAAGTGAGGCACCTCAGGGACTCCCGTGTGGCCACACTGGGAAGCAGGAGCTGATTGATGGGACAGGAATTCTGGCTGCAGGGTGCTGGGATGACTTGGCCCTGGACAGGTGGTTCCCCCAGACATTGCGAGCAGCAGACATGTGTCTAGTTTCATTCACGTGCGGTGGCCACCGCCCTGTGACCAGCTGCAGTGGTGGTTGCTATGGCCAAGGCAGGAACCCCTCTTTGGAATGTCCCCCAAAGGCTTCTGCCTTCCCCTGCATTTTCTCCATGTCTTCTGTGATGACAAATCATTTGATTTTCAGAAATCGCCAGGAGGGGGAGCCAGTTTTTAAATAGCAACTGACCTGAGTGACACTTGGGATGGGAAATGTGTGCCCATCATGAACTTATGATTTTTCTGTAACAGCAGATGTGTCCTCGGAAGGAGGGCAGTGAGGGTGCCACATTTGTCCTTTCAATAATAAATTGCATCTGTTGAGTGCTGTCTGAGCATCCCGCCGTGGCGGGGGAGCTCTGTGTCTCCTTCCTCATTGCGTCTTCACAGCAGCCTTCTGAAGCAGGGAGACACTTTATCCTGCTGTTAGAGCTGAGGTCAGAGTGGCTTGTGAGGAGCGGGCAGGGAGCCAGGGTCTGGGCCCTGGTGGTGAAGTTAAGCTCACTCCACAGAAAGGTCATTATTGGAGTTTCCATTAGCTAGGCAGCCTGTCACCTCATGTTTTCCCATCCTACTGTGTTACTAAGGACAGCTTTTTACACAGGAAACGTGTCTGGCGATGTCCTAGTGATTGTAGGAGCATAGAAAATGTCTTTTTCCGAAGGATTAAGGGGTAGAGGTCTCTGGACCAAGAGGTTCCCCACAGGTTCCTACTAGGTGACACTCCCTGGACTTTGCAGGCTTCTGAAGTCTGGCTTGCCTTCATTGGATCCACAGCTGACACCTGCGTAACTGAAGCTGCCTCCCCTGGAAACCAAGTTCCATGGACTGCTTCCTTGGCCACTGCCAGGCCAGGGTGGCTTGCCTCTAGCAGCTCAAGAAGGCAGCTGGTGGTCAGGGGTGGAACACGTTCCTGGAGCCCAGGCACCAGTCTTAGGGCCAGGCCTCTGGGGCAGGGGGCTGGTGGTAGGTGGAGCAGCATCAGTCCTCTGTGGACAAGAAATGAAAAGCCAAGGTCCTTGGTTCCTATAGGAAAGTAGTAAAAAATGGCGAAACTAGCATTGAGAAATGATGGAGTCAGAGGGCTGAAGGTGTTGAGTTCATGGGAGAAGTCCAGAGAGCTACAGTGGAGCACAGGTGACACCCTCGGGCCCCCATTGCTAGCTGTGAGAGCCTAGGTAAGATTCTTCATCTCCCTTGTCTAATGAGAGTGTGACGAGATACCATGTGTTAAACTCTTGGTGCAGTTCCTGGCCTGTGAGAAGTGATGCAGGATCCTGAGTGTCCGTCACTCAGCTACTGCCCTCCGCCTTCCTGCCACCACTTCCCATCCTGCAGGAGCAGCCTTCTGTCCCCTGAGCATCAGAGTTCTCAACTGTTAGGCCACCTGTGGTCTTGGGGCTCGGTGTTGAGCTCTCTCTGCCATACTCCACCAGGTGACTTACCTTCTATTGTGATCCAGTGAGGTCGGGACTCAACTGAGCTCATTAGAAAAAGTTCCAGTTGAAGGGCTAAACAAGGGCAAGAAAGCAGTGGGGAAGCCTCCCCAAGTTGTGGGCCTGTGGGGGGCGTCAGTACTAGGGCAGGAAGGGACGGCCCCAAGGGTCCGGCACAGCCTGCATTCGCTGCTCCTTTTATGTATGCTGACCTTGGTGGCATTCTCTGTGGGCAGCTGGGGGCCAACTCCAGTTCTTTCTGTGGGGCAAAATGGATATTGCCAATCTTCCCAAGGTCCGTGCCATCACAACCTCCACACAGGGCTCCCTGGGCAGGCTCCCAGGAGAAGAGTTTGAGCTTGAGTGGGACTGCAATGCCCTGACAAGTGGCCAGAGGTCAATGGGACAGAAGATGGGAATCAGGCTTGTGTTCTGAGGTTGCTGGCGTGGATGATGCCTGGCAAGGAAGCCGACATGGAGACTCCTGAGGGTCTGGCCTGGAGGACAGACAAGGCAGGAAAACGGCTGGCATTGGAGGTTTGGGGGAAAAGAGGCCAGGGTGACATGGGCCTGCACCCTTGACCATCACTGCTGGAGTGCCCTGGAGAAAGGCAGCCAAGTGTCTGTTGGAGCGTGAACAGCAGCACGGCGCCTGAGCAGGCCCAGGGCCAAGGCTGTGTCCTGGCTGGTGAGGCTCAGTCATGGTGCCCATCCTGAAGGGGAGGCTGTCGCTTTATTCTCCCTCCTCCCTTCCTCCCAAGCTGTGGCTCCTCATTACTGCCTGGCTTTTCCCCAAGAAGGCTCGGTGCCCCTTGCTGACAGCCACCCTCTGAGGGAGCCCACTCAAGGCAGCCTGCTGTCCGAACCTGGAGAATCCTAGGCTTTGGCTGCTGCTCAGGGCCCTGTGACTCTTCCCGACAGGGTGACCCTGGCCTGTTGGGGTCCCGGGGCTCAGTGCTGAGGGTGGGTACCTGGGTCACACCAGCACGGTAGGACACAATCGTAGGCCCTGCTTGACCTAGCATTCTGCAGGGCCTGTGACAGGCTGAGCAACTTCAGAGGCATAGCCCACACCAGAGGGCACCATGCCCCCTGCATGACCAGCTGGACGCTGCAGCCATTCTGGTGATGCCTGGGCAGGCTGCCTCCTCGCGTCTTTTTGTTTTCTTGGGAAAGTGGGATGCGGAGCGGCAGCCGGGGGACATGAATTAGAGTTCTCACCCCTGTCACTTCCCAGCTGAGTTACTGTGCATGTCCTCAGCGCCTAGAACCATTGTGGGCGTGATGTTCCTCGACTGACTTCACAGAGCAGAATGCAGTGCCCAGGAGCCCCAGGGGGCAGGGGTGCCACTCACTGACTTCTTTGTCAGCGTCTAGACTAGTCCAAGTGGCCTGGGGAACAAGAGTGGGACAAGCCCTTGAAGTCCGACACACACACACACACACACACACACACACACTTCCCTCCCCACCTCTGCAAAGGCTCTCTTTCCTCCATCCTTCCCAGCCCCGGACGGACAGGTAGAAATAACAGTGGTGTTCCTCAGTGTCCTGTGGGAGACTTTATTTGTAGATGGGAGAATTTTCCCGCCCATCCCTCCTGCTCAGCTTAGGATGAGATCTGCACCCTCTTACACTTCTGGCTGTCGTCCTGGATCACACCTGTTGTAGAGACCTTTGTGTTAGGTGCCAAGGCCGCCTCCTGGTGGCGCTGTCTGGCAAGAGCGCCAGGTGGAAGGGCTGATTTTGCTGCAGGCAGGCCCGGACCAAGCCAGTCATACCCTCCCTTTCACAGAAACTTGGTGCCCCTACGGAGGGACTAGAGCATTTTTGAATTTTTTGGTAGTAGTAGTTGCTGTGAAGCAGGAATGAATCCAGCATGCCCAGGAAATGGGTTTGTTCTGAGGGAGTGGAAGGCAGCAAAGCCCCATCACCACTTACCCTGGCTCAGTTTTTCCCCACACATACCTTCTTAACCTCTTACGGCAAGAGTGGGAGTCAGCGGTTCTGGTCCTGGTCTCCCCTGAGGCCATGAGATAACCTATCCGGAAACCCACCTGTCCAGTGCCCCTGCCCCCAGAGCCTCCAACTGCATCCTAAAAGTGGAGCTTCCTGGCCCTGCTTGCCCCAGCTCCATCCCACCCCACCCCACCCCAGGACTCTGGATGGTGCACCCATGCCTCAGGGCCTGCATCTCCTCCGGAGCCTGGCCCTGGCAACGGCGTCTTCTCACCCACCTTGTGTAGATGGCCCATGGGGTGCTCAAGTGACGCTGAGCAGAAGCGAGTGCAGCAGCGTTTGACCCAGCGCAGCGTGGAGGCTCTGCACATGACCCGGGGCCCCGGCAGGTGGATTCGGGTGGGCAGCCCCTCAAACCAGGTGCCTGGGTCAGCTGTACCCAGCTGCCTTGTCTCCTCCCTGGGATTCCTGTGCTGGTAAGTCTGGTCGGAGGGGGCTTGGGGAACCCCAGAGGGTTGCTGTCTCTCCCAGGCACCAGGATCCACACCGTGTCCCCTGAATGGCCTCAGGACCTCGGGCTCCACCTGCTGCTCCTTGCATGTGACCCCTGCATACGACCCCTTCTCCGTGTTCTTCATCTCAGATACCACCTGGGGCTTGCCTTCCTGGGGCCTAGTCTGTTGGTGTCCTGCCACGGACTCTAATTTCTTGGACTGTGGATTCTCCTCAAGGCACTTAGCCAACTGGAGCTCTTGGACGTTGTTGTCCCTGGCAGGGAGAGAACAGGCAGTCAGCAGAGGAGGACCTAGGCCCTGGTCCTGTGTGGCCAGGTCACGGGAGCCTGCTAGGAAGGCTGGAGAGGGCCTGAAAGGAAATTGCTCTACTCCCTGGAGGTTTTGTGCTTGGCGCTAGGGGGCAGCACAAATATTGGCAGAAGCTATGAGAGGTTGGGCCAGTGGCAGGTGTGGCCAGCTCTGAGGACACTTAGGAAAAGACCGGGGTGGGCTGGGGGGGTGGCTTCTAGAAGTTATGGAAAAACAAAAGTAAGAGATAAAGCAAGATTTCCATGGATTTTCTGGAATCTCCCTGTACATGCTGCACGTCTCCTCTTTGATTAAATCTTCAGATTTTTCAGCTGAGAAGAGAATGAGCAGTTTAGCGTTGCAGTTGCTGTTGTCATTTCATATTGTACTCTGGGTTATCTCAAATGCCCTGTGAGTATGGGGAAGAGTGGGAGCAGGGTGAGGGCAGGACATTTCCTCTCTTCATACAATTGGAGCTTGGCCGGGAAGGGTGGATGGGTGACAGTGTATATTTGTAAGCGATTCCACTGATTAAAAAAAAGGGAGAGAGAGACAAGCTGAGGCACTCGCTGACTCCAATTCTTGTGGCTCCGTTTTTGTTGACTGCCAAATCAGAGAGCAGCGCAGACAGGTGGAGCTGCCAAACACATTACGTGATGGAAGGAGACGTGCCTGGAGAGTACCTGATGGATTGCTTAGGTGCCCGGTGGCAGCACCGTCCTGAGTGTGTGTGAAGAAGGCAAGGCCTCAGGCACAAGGTTAATGTCACGGCTGCTGCCACCAGGGTCCCTGCAGCATTTCTGCAGAGCAAGGCCGCCCGTGGAGTACCAGGGTGGGTTGGCTTGCAGGGTGACAGGCTTTGCAGTCAGCCCTGTGGGACCAGATTCTGCTTTCGGCCCTTCCCACCTGTGAGATGGGAGCCCTTGCTTCACTGTGCACAAGACTGGGGTTATCCCGTCTCCTAACAGGATTGCTGTGAGGGGTAAGGTAATGAAGAGAGTGCTTGCAAAATGCTTGCACAGGAGCTGGCATTCAGCAGGCACCTAGTAAATATTAGCTTCCTTACTGTTGTGCCTCATGAGGAAACCACGCCTCAGCAAGATTACCTGGTCCTCAGACCTCAGGGAGCAGTCTACAGGTGCGTCTCTGATGGTGGTTGTGTTTTGAGCTCCTCCCCTGCTCCACCCTGCCTCAGTGTCCCAGCTCTCAGTTGGACCATAATTGGGTGATTATGACCATGGTTATGACCACAGCTCTGATACCAGCCAGCAGTAGCCCACACCTGCCATGATCTCATTCAGTGAACTGGGACTAGCTCGCCTCACCCCTCGAGCTTCAGCCCCGTCGGTAAGATAGGGCTCATCCATAGCTTTCACACAGAGCCCCTGTGAAAGGTTCTATGAACCCATCAACAGCAGTTCCGTCCCTGGTAACCATAGTGCCAGATTCATCCTGGGAGTGACTGAGGGCCGGGCTCACCTGGAGGTGATGCGGAGGATCGTGGGGACTTGGAGTAGTGAATTCCAACACTTCTTAGCCAGGTTATGCAGTTCTAGGATCCGGTGGTTTGAGCTCTTGAATATCTTCAGAAGCGAAAGGTTTCTTAACACCTGCCGGGGACAAGAAACCAGGGAAGCTGACGCTGCAGCTCTCCTGGGAGAGGCCCCACTCCCCTTGCTGCCTCGTGCCCAGTTCAGCTCCTCGTCACGCCTTGTGACAACCAGGAGCAGCCCCATGTGGGGATCACGGCTCCTTGGAGTTGGGGCCAGATTGGAACATCTTACCATTTTAAGTCGGGTCCGCTTAATTACTTTGTGAATGGGCTGTCTTATCTTGTCCTGCAGTTTCTCATCTTGTGTCTGAGGAACAGAGAGAGACAGAGAGCTAACAAAGAGGAATTCCTGAGTGCCTCCATTATGCTTCTCCATTTAGCTGATCACGGTTTGACCAACCCACGCCTGGGAGCTTTGTCTTCTGGTTTGGGGGCAGAACAGGAGAGTCCATTTTAACTCTCCTGATCTCTCCATTGGCCCGTCCCCTTTCCTCCCCTGGTTGTAGGACCCCTGTCGTTGGTGTGCCTGCCCTCTCTGTCAAGGTCCCCTCCTAGGGGGGCTCACCCCCTAGGGTCTGGTCCACATTCCAACCTTGAAAACTACTGTATTCTGGGGCCTCTTCTTTGCTGGTGGACTCATGCTGGGGCTCTGAGGCTCGAAGACAGGCCAAGCAAGACTATACCCGAGTACAGCTTGCGCCCTGTCCTCTCCGTTCAGCCAGCACTCAGGCCGGGGTGTCAGATGTGACTGCCGGAGCCTCTCAAGCAGCAGAGCTGTGACATCACTGAAATGTGTGACAGGGGCAGGGTCGGAGGCTGACCAGGAAAAGGCCATCTGTGAGGAAACACAGCATGCCCAGTGAACGCCCTATGAGCCCCCTTTTTAAAATGAAGAAGCTAAGGTTCAAAGAAATCAAATAGCATACCCAGTAGTACTTACTTGCTCATCCGTGTTGCGTACTCCAGGTGCCTTTCTAAGCATTGGAATAGAAGAAAATTCTTAACCTTGGGCGTATGTTCTAGTAGAGGACAGACAATGCAGTGTTTGCAAAGGTTGACTGACTTTCTGGAATGGATGTGTCTGTGTGTGTGTGTTCATGCACCTGCTACTGTAAGTTTTAACTATAGAATCTACAAATAATAGTAAAACTCTGCAGTAGTCTTTACTGTCAACGTTATCTAATTTATATAATATCAGTTTTTCCCCAACTCTGTTGTCCATGGCCTCCAGCATGTGGTTTTAATGGACAAACAAGTGTCATACACACCAACATGGATGTTGATAGACTCATGTTAAAAGGTAAGAAATAAAACAGTAAAGATGTTAGAATTTACTCCTCAATGACTTGATTCATTTGCTACTGAATTGGTTCATAAGCTGAGTATTAGAAGTAGATTTTTTCAGATTTTTTTGTTTATTGCTTTTTACAGTGGAGTGCCTAAAACAACATTGTTTTATATTGAATTTTCTTTTTTTTTTAATTTCTTTTTATTGCAAAATCAGATATGTAGAGAGAAGAGGAGAGACAGAGAGGAAGATCTTCCATCTGATGATTCACTCCCCAAGCGGCCACAATAGCTGGTGCTTAGCTGATCCAAAGTCAGGAGTCAGGAGGCTCTTCTAGGTCTCCCACACAGGTTCAGGGTCCCAAGGTTTTGGGCTGTCCTCGACTGCTTTCCCAGGCTACAAGCAGGGAACTGAGTGGGAAGTGGGGCTGCCGGGATTAGAACCAGTGCACGTATGGGATCCCAGCATGTTCAAAGCGAGGACTTTAGCCACTAGGCCACTGCGCTGGGCCCTACATTGAATTATCATCACTAATGTTTCTTCTAGTAGGTTTTTTACTCTAGACCAGGGTCAGTAGAGATCTTCTGTAAAGAGCCGGATAGAAATAAATGTGTCAGACCTTGGAAGTCAGCTGAGCTGTTGTGGTGTGAAAGTAGTTATAGATAATATGTAAATCACTGGGCATGGCTGTATTGCAATAAAACAGCTGGTGGCCTGAATTTAGTCCATGGCTAACCATGGGCACAGGCAATCAACAAAACAATACACTAATGCCAGTGTGTCCTGTCTCTCTGTTTCTCTGATGTGGTACTCCTGTCTACCATCACTGAATTCTAGAGTTGGGCAGGAAGTAACAGTAGCATGCCGTGATATAGTATATGTTCTTAACAAATAGATATAGAGAATCCTAGGAAGCTATATAGTAAAAGTTTAGTGAAAAATAGTAAAACCATTGGTAATGTGGGCCCGGCGAGGTAGCTTAATGATTAAAGTCCTTACCTTGCATGTGCCAGGATCCCATATGGATGCTGGTTTGTGTCCCAGTAGCCCCGCTTCCCATCCAGCTTCCTGCTTGTATTTGGGTAAGCAGTAGAGGACAGCCCAAAGTCTTGGGACCCTGCACCCGCATGGAAGAGCTGGAAGAAGCTCCTGGCTCCTGGCTTCAGTTCTACTCAGCACTGGCTGTTTCTGCCAATTGGAAAGTGAGTCATTGGATGAAGATGAAGACCTTCCTCTCTGTCTCTCCTCTCTGTATATCTGACTTTCCAATAAAAACAAATAAATCTTTTTAAAAAATGGTGATGTTTGGATATCTTTGTCTTTGTTTTTACTATTTTACTGTAAATTTACACATTAAATGTTAATGTTCAGCTATGCTTAACCTCTAACCTGCAGAATTCCTTGCAATTTAATGGTAGACTTCAGCAAGCCCTTATATGTGAGCTGTAGCGCAGCATTGCCGTATCGAATGGGTTGCTTGGAAAAGAGTCAGTAGGATCTTGGAGATAGGACACAGGCTGGGAGTTTGAAAAAACATGGGCTGGGAAAGGCTCACTAACAAGGTGGTATTTAAGCAGAGACCTGAAGGAAATAGGGGAGGGGGAGGAGTAGGGCAGTGGTGAAAGACGCTGGTGTGCTGGGAACGGGTCCTGGGAGACTTTGATGGGACTCTGGCCACTCTGAAAGCCTGGTGCCCAGCTGTCCGATTCTGAGGAGGCTGTGAAATGCAGCTGCTCAGGGCCCGGTGCGATGGTGCAGTGGTTAAGGTCCTCACCTTGCATGCCCGGGATCCCATATGGGCGCCCGTTCTATCCTGGCAGCCCCGCTTCCCATCCAGCTCCCTGCCTGTGGCCCGGGAAAGCAGTCGAGGACGCCCAAAGCTTTGGGACCCTGCACCCGCGTGGGAGACCCGGAAGAGGCTCCTGGCTTCAGATCGGCATAGTATCGGCCGTTGCACTCATTGGGGAGTGAATCATCGGACGGAAGATCTTCCTCTCTCTCTCTCCTCTCTGTATATCTGCCTTTCCAATAAAATAATAATAATAATAATAAATCTTAAAAAAAAAAAAAAGAAATGCAGCTGCTCAGGCACCAACCCGTGCAGTAGAGCAGTCTGACACCCAGCCAGGAGCAGGACCCACTCCACATCACGCTGCACCTGGCGGGGAGGGGTGTGTGCACGCAGCGACTGCGTGACTCCTGCTTTGATGAGCAGTGGACCAAGTCTGTCCTGTGGAACAGCTTTTCATATCAAAAGCCCGTGAGTGTCAAAGTGAAGGTGACAGGACACGGCAAGGGGTTGTGGTAAATCGAAAGCAGGAAAATGAGAAGAGACGCTCCTGCCCTTCCCCCAGTCCCCTCCAGGCGTCCCTGCCCGCTCAGCTGCTCCACACCCCTTTCCTCACTGATCTTGGATCAGTGCATCTCTGGCTGTGCGACCATTTGGGAAGAGAACCAGCAAATGTAAGAATTTCATCTTTGTGTCTTTTTCTCTCTATAAATCTGCTTTTCAAATAAAAATAAATAATGAATAATATTCCATTGCATGACTATACCACATTTTAATTTATCCATTTGTTATTTATTGAACAGCTGGGCTGTTGCTACTTTTGTTGCTACTATTGTGAATAACACTAGTATGATCATGAGTGTACAGATATCTTCCCAGGGTCCAGTGCAATGGCTCAGCTGGCTAATTCTCTGCCTGCAACTGCCAGCATCCCATGTGGGCACCAGTTTGTGTCCCAGTTGTTTCATTTCCAGTCTAGCTTTCTGCTTATGGCCTGGGAAAGCAATGGAGTATGGCCCACAGCCTTGGGACCCTGCACCTGTACGGGAGACCTGGAAGAAGCTCCTAGCTACTGGCTTTGCATCAGCTCAGCTCCGCCCCATTGCAGCCACTTGGGGAATAAACTAATAGATGAAAAATCCTTCTCTCTGTACATCTTTGTGTAAATCTGCCTTTCCAATAAAAGGAAATGAATCTTTTTTAAAAAGAAAGAAAAGAAATTACATGGGAAAGGAAAAATGTGTATTATGAAAAAGCTGTGTAAGGAATTCAAAAATTTTTTGCACCAAAATAAACATTTTAGTTCGGTTTTCCACATTTTGAAGTATCCGTGTCTAAATAGAAGTGGTTTCTGGACCATGTGAAGATTCCATTTTTTATTTTTTTTTCCTGAAGATTTGTTTATTTGAAAGTTATGGAAAGAGTTATGGAAAGAGTATCTTCTGCTGGAATACTCTTCACATGGCAACAACGGCTGGGGCAGGACCAGGCCAAGCCAGGAACCCGGAACTCCACCCCGGTCTTCCACATGAGTGCAGGGGCCCAAGCACATAGGACATCTTCCGCTGCTTTCCCAGGTGCATTAGCAGAGAGCTGGATGGGAAGTGGAGCAGCTGAGACTTGAACTAGTGCCCATAGTTCAACCCATTGTTGTGCCCTTTCAACACTGACCCTGTTTTTAATTTTTTTGAGGAGTCATCATATTGCTTTCTGCGGTAGCTATACACCTTATTATTCCCAGCAGCAGGGCACAGTCATTCACTTTTTTTTTTTATATGTTTGCTGTTTTCTTAACAGTAGCCATCCTCAGGCCTGGCGCGATAGCGTAGTGTTGAAAGTTCTCACCTAGAACATGCTGGGATCCCATATGGGCGCCAGTTCGTATCCTGGCAGCCCTGCTTCCCATCCAGCTCCCTGCTTGTGGCCTGGGAAAGCAGTTGAGGATGGCCCAAAAGCCTTGGGACCCTGCACCCGCGTGGGAGACCTGGAAGAAGCTCCTGGCTCCTGGCTTCGGATTGGCTCAGCTCCAGCCATTGTGGCCACTGGGGGAGTGAATTATCGGATGGATCTTCCTCTCTGTCTCTCCTCCTCTCTGTATATCTGACTTTGTAATAAAAATAAATAAATCTTAAAAAAAAAAACAGTAACCATCCTCAAGAATGTGAGGTTCCCTTCTGTTGTTTTGATTTGTTTCCTCTCATAGTTTGTGCTTTAGTTTCCTCATGTCCGTTGTGCATATGGTGAGGTTAACATTGTTACTGTTCAGTTCCATAAGCTTTGAGGAAAACATCGTATTGCATAACCAGTGATCAATAGGTGAATGGTTGTGTAACTGCCCTAACTCCCGCTGCCATCTCTTTGTGGGGCACTCGTTGCCCGCTCTCAGCCGAGGTGGTGCCAGGCCCCAGGGCAGTGCCCTCCCCATTGCCGCATGTGATGACTTTGCACAGAACAGAGCTTTACGTGTTGGATTTCCTTCCCTCGAGACTCACAAGTGTTGACTGCCCATAGTTCCTGTGTTTTCATTGTGGTGCGGCACACCCTTATCTCACTGCACCACTGTTTATCTAATCATGGTAGGACAGCTGGGTTGGAGTCTGATTTTCTGTTCCTAAACATATCTGTGTGCGGATTTTGGTGGGAATACGGGTTT